ATACTTTAGACTTTGCACTTGGTGGAGTCATTATGCAAGAAGGACATCCGGTAACTTATGAGAGCTGAAAGCTGAATCAAGCAGAACATCGTTACTCGACACACGAAAATGAGTTGTTGGCAGTAGTCCATTGCCTTAGGGGATGATCTCACTATTTGCTTAGGTCTCCATTTATTGTGAATACGGATAGCACTACAGTAAGTCACTTCATGTCACAACTGAAACTATCAAGCAAACAAGCTCGCTGGCAAAAACTTCTTTCAGAGTTAATTTCATGCTAGAGTACCGTCCCAGATCTAGTAATCATGTTGCCAATGCTCTTAGTCGCCAGGCTGACTTGGCCACCATTTGTTCTATGACTGCTCTTTCAGGAAGCACAGTCATCTCAAACACAAGGGATCAAATTCGGGCACTTTTGGATATGGACCCTGTTACTTAATATTTGGTGGACCTCATCAAGTAGGGAAAAACTCGATAGTTTTGGCTTGATGGGGTCTAGTGAAGACTAATAGAGACCGCCAATATATCCTGAAGGGCGGAGATTTGAGGAAATTACTAGGTAGGGCATCCCGGAGAGGAACGCACTTTGCACTACTACAACGTGCATACTATTGGCCTCAAATGCGAAATGACATTGCAACTTATGTGAAAACTTGTCTTGTTTGTCAACAAGATAAGGCAGATCATCAAAAAAGGCAGGCTTACTGGAGCCCCTTTCCGTCCCAACAAGACCATTCGAGAGTGTATCAATGGACTATATTACTGAATTGCCAAAAGTTGGAGATTTTGGCACTATCATCGTTGTGGTAGACCGTCTGTCAAAGTACGCGACTTTCATCGGAGCACCCAAGTATATATCAGCTGAAAAGACAGCTCAACTCTTCTTCAAACATATTATCAAATACTGGAGACTGCCTAAGGACATCTTCAGTTATCAGGATTCTCGATTTACTGGCATATTTTGGACCAAGTTGTTCAAATTTGAGCATGAGTTTTAGTTTTCACCCACAATCTGAAGGACAGATGGAGCGCTTCAATTCTATGCTGGAAGAATATATTCGACATTTTATCTCTACTTCGCAGAAGAATTGGGTGAAACTTTTGGATGCGGCTCAAATGTGTTTCAATACCCAAAAGAGCTCTTCCACCAATAAGAGTTATTTTGAGATTGTTACTGGCCAGCAATTGTTACTCCATCATACTGTGAATATTGATCAAAGTACCAAGTCATCTCATGCAAAAAGTTTCTCTCAAGAGTGGAAATAAAATATTGAAAATGCTCGGAGTTATCTTGAGAAAGTTCAGAAACGATACAAGAAGTCTGCAGATCAAAAACGCAATTTCCTTGAATTTAATGTTGGAGATCTGGTAATGGTTAAACTCCCTGACAGAAAAGTTTACAAACCGACAAGAGGGAAAAACTCAAGATTTGTGCCAAAATATATTGGACCATTACCCATCGTGAAAAGGATTTGAAGAGTCACATACAAAATTTTACTCCCTTCATGGTGCAAAATCCACAATGTCCTTCATGTTGATGTACTCAAGCCATACTTTGCCGACAAAGAGGACGCATCCAGAAATGAGCTAAAGTGACCTTTGTTTGAACTAAAAAAAAGCTAGAAAGAAGGTTGATGAAGAGATTCTTGACCATCGAACTACTCGAGCGTCCAAGCAATATTATCAAGAGTATTTGGTCAAATGGAACGGATGCAACAGCGGGGAAAATACTTGGGAAAGTGAAAAAGACCTTGGAGCCTTCAAACCATTAATTGAAGCATATCATTCATTGATGGCTCCGAGGATGTCGCCAAAACAAATGGGGAGAATGTCAAGGACCATAGCTTCAACTAACCCCTTAATCTAATCGCAGCCGTAGTTTGCCCAACTTCGGCCACATATTGTAAATATTTTATTTCAATTGTAGAATAAATGTGATATTGGAAACATTTAGTATGATTCCTCGGCATTTAAACGTACTCCTATCACTTATATTTTTGTTTAGAATGCTATCATATGGGGTGTTAGTCTTTTAAACAATTTTTCAAGTTTTTTAGTGTTCGCCTCCTGCACTAGCTATTATAATTTCCTTTTTTTCATCAATTGCAATTTCTAGATTTCAAGTAATCAATGATCAATTTACTTTCAATGCATTTCAATTTCATGTTGCATGCTTTCTACAAATTGTAATCAAATTATCTTTCGTCCTGAAACGATCAGAGAAGGAGAAAGATAGTCTAGCAGAGCAGACTATTGCCGTACGGTATCCCTTTATGTGGCAAGAAGAAAGGCACCCCGTGAAACTTTGTCATGCCTAGCTCTGAATAATGGTTAATATAGTATGAGGGAAAAAATAGGGGGGGTGATGCAGCACTTGTTTGGTGTAGATTAAAATTAATTTTTTAGTAAATTTTGATAAAAGTTAATGGAATATGAGGTTGAAAAATTGTGGGATCAATGAAATATGTGGTTAATATGAATTGTTTAATTTTGACTTTGATTAAAATCTAATTTTAATCAATACCAAACACCAAACACAGGCGCAATAATTGATATTTGAATTTGTTTGAGCCACATTATTTTTAAAGAATGTATTGTGAAATAGTAGATTGATAGAGAATGTGTAGTTGAAAAGGAAGGAAAATTATTGATGTGATGGAAAATATTATTTTATTGAAGAATATATGGTTGAAAATGAGTAGAAGAATGAAAAAAATAATGTGTATCAAACAGGGGCATAATATGATTTTTTGAAGAGAAAACCAAACACGTCCTATGATAAATAGAATTGACGAATGACAAGAAAAAGCGTGACAAAATCAATCCCGTGCATTTGCATTCTGTCCTCACAATCATCATACATCTAATATATGTAGCACAAAAGGAGGATAGAGATCTATAAGTACATATTGCCATTTCACATTTCTCATTATATAGACAAAAACCCAAAATTTTCTTGAGGTAATTCAGTTTCTATTTTGAAAATATATGCTCTGTTTTTCTATGTTTTCTTGAATTTGTGCAAATTTATGATGATTTCCTTCTGGGTTTTTTTTTATAAAGTAGTGATTTTAAATTTTGGGTTTCTGAATTTTCTTCTTTCTTCTAGTTTTTTGGAATTTTGAGGATGTGAGTTTGCATTCATTTAAAAATGGTCTGTTTCCTGTATCAATTCGTTAAATTTATCTATGTACTCATTCGGGTTCTGATTCTTTGGTGTTATTTCAGTTTTGTTGAATTTTTGTGGATCGAGTTTGTTTTTATTTTATGGATTGTGGGATGTAGAATTTTATTCTTCGCTTTTTTCATGTTCTTACTTATTTTCACTTGTGTCAATTATTGTGTATCAATATGAATTTATAATTCAAATTTCAAGTGGGTTCGATTTGTCTCTCTCTTTTTTTTTTGGATAAGATAGATCAATGGAAGAGCCTTTTGGATGTAATAATTGTCCTTTTCTACCCAATTGCCTGATAAGCTATCAATTTTCTTAATTGTGGTTGTTCTCCTTATCTAGAGTAATTCTTAAATATATATCGGCTAAATGTCTCCGTTTTATTTGGTCTTGAATTTACTGCAGAATGGGAAGCACGGGTGAAACCAAGTATGGATCGTACACCTATGAAAACCTTGAGAGGGAACCGTACTGGCCAACCGAAAAGATCCGGATTTCCATTACCGGAGCCGGCGGATTCATTGCCTCGCACATCGCCAGGCGTCTGAAGAGTGAAGGTCATTACATTATTGCTTCCGACTGGAAGAAAAACGAGCACATGACAGAGGATATGTTCTGTCATGAATTCCATCTTGTTGATCTGAGAGTGATGGATAACTGTTTGAAAGTTACCCAAGGAGTTGATCATGTGTTCAATCTCGCTGCAGATATGGGAGGGATGGGTTTTATTCAGTCAAATCATTCTGTCATCATGTATAACAATACGATGATAAGCTTTAACATGATCGAGGCTGCAAGGATCAATGGAGTTAAGAGGTTCAATTTCTTTAATCTTCTTGATTTTATTCAGCATTTGGGTTTGTGTGTAGATCACTGGTAATTGATACTAACACTTATACGATTGATTAGCTTTACATCCTGAATTTAGTCACCACAGTAGCATTCATTAACTTGAAAATTATGAGAGGGTAATGTTGGTTTTGTTCTGTTGTTGAATAACAAAACTAAATACACTATATTAGTTCTGCATATTTTTTTTAGAGTTTTTTTTCGTCACTGTTTTTGACGATCAGGATTCGAACAGTAAGATCGTTTTGTGTTAGGTTACGAAAGTATGAAAATTTGCTTAGGAAGGGGTGAAGAATCAATAATTAGAACCCTTTTCTCAACGGGTTATGTTATTTTAGCAAACAATTGATAATCTCCACGCCATCAAATGTGTTGATCGCCACATTCCTATCTGAGATCCAATTATTTTTCTGTTAAAGATGCCGAGTTTTACTTCGAAATAAATTCAGTGAGACACATTTGGATGTGAAAATCTTAATATTGATCTCTCCAATTTGGATTCAGGTTTTTCTATGCCTCCAGTGCTTGTATCTATCCTGAATTTAAGCAGTTGGATACCAATGTCAGCTTGAAGGAATCTGATGCTTGGCCCGCGGAGGTTTGCTTTCTCATATTTTTTTAAAATTGAGCGTACTTTTAGGTTTTATAACGTTATTGTTGAGATTTAATTTTTATTTTTAGCCTCAAGATGCTTATGGCTTGGAGAAGCTGGCAACAGAGGAACTCTGTAAACACTACAACAAGGATTTTGGAATCGAATGCCGAATTGGACGTTTCCATAACATTTATGGTCCATTTGGGACATGGAAAGGTAAACTTGAAGACATAGAGGAAAGTTGTAATATTTCTCTCTTTTCCTAAGTTCGCAGAGCGTTCTCTTTAATCTGTCGACTTTTTTCATAAATTGGTACAGGTGGGAGGGAGAAGGCGCCTGCTGCCTTCTGTAGGAAAGCCCTTACATCCACAGATAAATTTGAGATGTGGGGAGATGGTCTACAAACACGATCTTTCACTTTTATTGATGAATGTGTCGAGGGTGTTCTAAGGTATGTTGAACTCATAAAATGACATTGTCCTGGGATTAAGTAATGGACATTAACATTTTGTTTCAGAATGCAATTTTCCCTTGCTTAAGTTCATGACTCTCTTCTCGCAATGAATAGTAATAGAACTCTGTTTTAATGAATATTCTTCATACTGGTAAAAGTAGCATTGTTCAACTGATAGAGCACCAAAACAAGAATGATCTTTTTGCTACTGTTGGTGCTTGAATTTCTGTCAGGATAACCCAGCTAAAAAGGCTGTTCATCCAGTCCTTTCCGATTCCATCTAAAAAGGGCATATAATGTTTGGGTTATTGGCATGTATCGACTTGCTACTTTATATTTTATATTCTTACTCCAGAAAAAGACTTCTAAACGTGCTTGCAATCTAATCTAGATAAAATTTATAATTACTTGAACATTTTATTTCAGAAATGTGCTGCTGCATGTTTCACAGCTTAAATAAATTGTTTTACTTATTCAGATTGACCAAATCCGATTTCCGAGAGCCTGTAAACATTGGAAGTGATGAGATGGTCAGCATGAATGAGATGGCTGAGATTGTCCTGAGCTTTGAGAATAAAACGCTCCCCATCCATCACATTCCTGGACCAGAGGGTGTACGCGGTCGAAACTCAGACAACACTCTAATTAAGGAAAAGCTCGGGTGGGCTCCTTCTATGAGATTGAAGGTGAAATGTTTGCAGTGTTTTCTCCGATATACTTAATGTGTCCATGAACTGAACCCTTTGTAACATATGACTCGTTGATCATATTTTTATGTTCCTTGCGCTTTCAGGATGGACTGAGAATCACATATTTCTGGATCAAGGAACAAATTGAGAAGGAGAAGGGTCAGGGCACTGATACATCTGCCTATGGGTCGTCAAAAGTTGTGGGGACGCAAGCTCCAGTTCAACTCGGTTCTCTTCGTGCTGCTGATGGCAAAGAATGAAGGAGATGAAGCCAACTGGTTAACTTTAATGCGCGATACAGGTTCTATATTTTGTGCCACCATGTTTTGGAGTGAAACGTCTGCATTTCAACCCTTCAATATGCTTTCTATTTTCGAAGCTGTTGTTTTATGTCTACAATTATAGTACATGTATCCTCTTTGGAAACGTATGTTACTTTTCTCTTCTGTTTATTTAGCTCCTGTATGACATTTTCTTATTTCAGTTCATTATGAAAGGCTGAGGCCTCTATGCTGGTCATTCTAATAAATTTTGTTTTTTGTTGATTGTTGTGCCTAATTGTCATTCATCAGACTCTTGGGGAGATTCAAATCTCAGCAGAACTGCCTGAATTTTATCTTATTTCAATAGTTTCTTGTGCGGGTTTTGACCTATGACCGGTTTTTGACTGTTCTTAGTTTTTTTTCCCCCATGAACTGGTCGATCTGATCCGATTTTGATAACATTGCTCGTAAGTCATAACAACAAATCCAAATGTGAGGGTGGTGGTAGAGAGGGAGTTCAAAGGGCACTGGCCTTCCTGACTAGCCTTCTTAGGATTGATTAATTCTGGGTGTTTATCCTCTTTTTGCTAATCGGATATAATTCATACGCTTTATGAGGTATATTTAGACTGGATTGTTAATCCATTAGGCGAATTAAAATAAGTAAATTTACTTGTTAGTAAATAAGTTTATATACTAGTAAATTACTTATTTAACAGAAAAATTTACTTGCAAGCAAATATATTCAGTTGTAAGCAAGGTTCTAAAGTACATGAGTGGCATTGCGTTTCGGTCGAACATTAAGCATTATTCGTTTTTCAATTTTTAATGTTATTTTAAATATTCTAAAATAATAAATTCTTTAAACTTTATACATATTTTTAAAATTTTTTTTTAAAAAAAAATATTGCTCAAATCATAAATACTATAATTATTTGAACTTTATATATATTTTTCAAATTTTTAACAAAAACATAATGTCCAAAGTCATAAATATTACAATTATTTGGTAATCAATTACTACAATTAAATTAGACACAAATATCAATTTAAAAAATCATATATATTGTCTGACTCTTTATCGAAATTCAATTCAAACTCCTCTTCATCAAAGTCATCTTCTGTATTATCCGGTGTAAAATCACCTTCCTCGAGCTCCTTGTTTCAACTCGAGATCTTATTGATGATAGGATATCATTATTAACTTCCTCATCCTTCTCATTACAACCATCAACAATCCAAGATTATTTATTAGTAGCATCACTTGCTAGTAAAACTAGAAAAAAATTGAAGAAGAATGAGGGCTCGGACTTGGCATAGATAGTTTGAAACTCTAAGAAAATTTTGTTTTTATTTTTTATTTTTTTTAAACGACAAAACTCTACGAATTGCTGTATATAATTTATGGCTTGGGTAATTTGGGTTGATTTGATGTTCGTCAAGCGCAATTTGCTTTTATCAAGTTATAAAAATGGATTGGACTTTGCTAAGCCAATTTTTAATACATATGCAGTCAGAGAAATATTGTCATCAATAGTTTGTTTTTTATTGCTTATACGATTTTCTAGTACAATGTACGTATTAGAAATATTCTATCTTACATAAATCTATACCTTCTAATTATATTTAATTCAAGATGGTGAACCAAACATACCAGCCTTATTTAAAGGAATAATTGCAATAGCGGTACCAAACATTTCATTTAGTAGTAAACTTTGTCCAAACATTTTATTTGTGTCATCCATGGTACCAAATATTTCATTTATGTCACTCACTGTACCAAACCTTTCAAAATGTCACAGCTGAAGTCCAAATGAATGGTTTCTATTAGTTTGACCATTAGTTGACCAAACAATTGGTTTTGACAATAATTTGACTAATTTTAAAAGGATAAAATGATAAATTTACATTTTTAAAAATAAAATAACTAAAATCAAATAATTAAAATTAAAAGCCAATTTCATCCACCTCACATATACCCATCCCCACTCTCACCCCAAAACCGTTACCACCACTGTCATTTCCTTCATCGCCACCACTAACATCTCTTCCACTGTAATCAATAACTACACATTTACTCACCAACAAAACCATTACAAGTGACGGACTTACTTGAAGATCTAAGAGGAGAGGAACATGGGTTTCTTTAACTTTTGCAGCCAAAGAGAGGCAAGTTACAACTGTTAGTTGGATCATCCATGGCTTTTCTTTATGAAAATGGATGCTGCAAAGAAACCTGTCAAGATAATTTTGACTTTTAAGATCCACGACAGTCAATGCTAAAAATCCATAAAAAATTTTGACTTTCAAGATCCATTCCACTACATCTATGCGTGCCTGCAGAGAAAGAGAATAGTGTGTGTCATCGACAAACGTGTCATTTTCTTTGCAGAAAAGAGAGTTAAGTTCTTCATCTTCCCAGAACAAATCTTGTTCGATTAATAGATTTTGTTCTCTTAATTGATTAGGGAAATGGGACAGATTTCCACCATATTAAAGTTGAATTTTTCACTCACTTCTTCAAATTCTCCTCATTTTTATTCTTCACAATAGAGGGAATCAAGCAAGAAGAAGTGAGCATTTTCTTCTTGAGTCGTAATCTTCTTGAAAGAAGAAGAGGGTTTAGCACTTTGCTCATAATACAGTACAAGAAAGTAAAGTCAACACCAACAAAGCCCATGGTTACCATTTGTGCATAAAATTACCTTTAATTTGTAAAATTGATTTCAGAAAATGGAATTTGTTCGCTTGATTGGTGGTGAGTAGATGTGTAGTTATTGATTACGGTGGAGGAGATGGCAGTGGTGGCGGTGGAGGAGATGGCAATTGTGGTGATGGTTTTGGGGTGGGAGATGGGTGGGCATGTGTGGGTTGGATGGAGAAAATGAAGTTGGTTTTTAATTTTAATTATTTGATTTTTGTTATTTTATTATAAAAATGTAAATTTATCATTTTAACATTTTAAAGTTAGTCAAGATTATTGTCAAAATCAATTATTTGGCCAACTAACAGAAACCATCTATTTGGAATTCAGCTGCGACATTTAGAAATGTTTGGAGGGAGGTACAAATGAAAGATTTGGTATCATAGATGGCACAAATGAAAAGTTTGGGTAAAGTCTGCTATTAAATGAAAGATTTGGTACCGCTCCTGCAATTATCTCTTAACTAAACGGAAAAGTTACGACTTTTGTTGTTTCTTTTAACAAAGTCTATTCTCATCAAGCATTTGTCATAAAAAGGTTAAGAAAAATGCTAACATTTTGAAAATGACTGAAATTACCATTATTTGTTTCTAAGTTTGTGACTTTTCTATAAAATTGAAATTGTTCAATAAAAAAAAAAAGTTTGAAAGTTTCAAGTCATTTTTTTCCAACCACCACTTTAGTCAAGTTCGATTATATGCCTATCGTGATGAGGAACGTGTCTCACAATAGTTAGATATAGAGACAATCAAACTTTATAAGGAAATTGGGTTACTTCTTTAACACGTTAACTTTTCGAGATGAAAATTCGAGTCATACACTCGTTACATATCAAACAAGTGCAAATTGCACCATGTAATGTACTCAATTATCTTTAAAATCTTTATCTGAATTAAATTATTGTTTCGAGTGAAATACTCAAACTAATGTATTATCCAACATGTATCATATACTTTGCTTGTGGACAAGGATCGGGTTATAAAATCTTGCACGAGTATGAAAGAGAAATATTTGAGAGAGTTGAGTGTTGTACTTGAACTTAAAAATGTTGGGTTGGTAAAAAAATTATTGGCTCATTTACTAAGCTTATGGAATATCGATTGTTCATACCATTTGTCTAATTTAAATTGTTTAATTAAAAAAAAAAAAAATTAGATTGGTGCAACCACTCATTTACTAAATATTTTTTTCAATAAAAATATGAAAGTACAAAACCCTATTTTTTATTTTCTTTTTGGTTGCTTAAAAGTTGTTGAGATATATATAATTGCAAGAAAATTGCTTTCACTTAGTTTTCTTAACCACCCAACAAAAGCAAAATAATTATTTTCATGTCAAAACCTAACACGAGATATTGTCTCTAACTCTAAATTTATTTCGTTAGCCAATGGACTAAGGTTTATTTTATTGAGATGCTTACCAATTATTACTAATTTACTTACCTAAAGATTCTTAGTGTGCGTAATCAATCTCTAATCATTGACTCGAATATTAAGATTACATATTTCAATTTGTTGATATTATATTTTGTAGGTGTACCATATCGTAAACTTGTAGTTAACTGCAATTATCTTGTATGAACGCTTAAACAACCATTAAACACCTTACAATTAAAATAACAAATCAACAACGTTCCCATTTTTTCGTCGAAAATTTAACTCAACAAAGAGAGAATGAAAATGACCCTTGTGCGGAAATGGTCCCTAACGTTTTATTCTTGGCACTAACCCCCTCAACATATTGAATTTGTGTGCAAAAAATCCTTTTGGATGGTTTCCATCCATTCTTGCCACGAGAAGTATACCTATTTCAATAAAAAGATACTTAATATTTTTATCCACTTGTAAAGGACCATAATGGCAATATTTCTTAAAGCGTATATTTCTTAACAGCCGTAGTCAAAACTTCGTGTGTCAAAAAGAAATAAATACATATGCCGAGAGTGAAGAAAAAGAAATATAAACGGTCATTTTTAGCCTTTTATATGCGTCGCGGTGGTAATTGATAGAGTTGATACCATTTTTCTACTTTTATTGCTAGTCATTTAAGCAATTTTCAGACAATTTGTCACTCTTTTTATTTCCTCTAGTATTATTTCATTATAAATGGACTTAAAGGGAGTTAGTACTAATTCAACAAAAACACCACTACCAAACAAGATGACCATCTTTAGAAAAAAGGAGAGAATTATATACTTTAGTAGGGTATCTATTTTAATATTTTTTTTGGGCTTTATCTTACCCTTTGTTTTAAATTCACTCTTATCCTCTCAAAGAAGGCTAGAATACAGGCC